ATAGCAAAAACAAAAATAAAAACAGATAACCCAATTAAAAAGTGGTCATAGGATCTGAATAGACACTCTTCCAAGGAAGATATTCATATGGGCAACAGTTACCTGAAAAGGCACAGGTCATTCATTATCAGGGAAATGCAGATAAAACCAAAACCACAATGAGAGAGCCTGCTAATGGGCTATTATCAAAAACTAAGAGATTACTGTGAGCAAGGATCTAGAGAAAAGGGAACCCTTGTGACTACTGGTGGGAACATAAATTGGTACAGACACTATGGAAAACAGTATGGAGGTTTCTCAAAAAATTAAAAATAGAACTACCATATGATCCAGCAATCCCAATTATGCGTATATATCTGAAGGAACTAAAATCACCTTGAAGAGGTATCTACACCCCATATTCACTGCAGCACTACTTATAATAGCCAAGACATGGAAACAATCTGTGTCCACTAATGGATGAATGGATAAAGGAAATTTTATAAATACATATGTAATATTATTCAGTCATAAAAAATAAGTAAATCCTGCCATTTATGACAATATAGATGAACCTTGAGGGCATTATGCTAAGTGAAATAAGTCAGAGAAGAACAAATACTGTATAACCTCACTTAATACATGGAAGCTGAAAAAAAAAACAAACTCACAGAAACAGAGAGTAGATTGGTGGTTACCAGAGGCAGAGGCAGGGGAAATGGATGAAGATCAAGGGTACAAACTTCTAGTTATAAAACGAATTAGTCTTGGGGATATAATGTACAACATAGTGACTATAGTTAATAATACTGTAATATATATTTGAACATTGTTGAGAGAACAGGTGTTAAAAATTCCCACCATATACATACACAAATCCTAACTATGTGAGATAATAGATGTGTTAACTAACCTTACTGTGGTAATCATTTTGCAACATACACATGTATCATATCATCATACTGTACACCTTAAACAATTATAAAAAAAAATGAAGGACTTCAAAATGGGGACAGTACAGCATTACCCAAGTGCAAGGCTAAGGGTAGAGCCCTGTGAGACTGCATAGGTCTCATGCTCATGATGCTGGCCCTAAGTCTGGACGGGGGTTCCCAAACCTGGCTGGCTGTCAGAATCAACTTAGGAACTTTAAAAAATAAACTGAGATATAATTCATGTATCATAAATTTCCCCAATTTCAAAATGCAAAATTCAGTAGTTTTTAGTATATTCACAAAATTTTACAACCATCATCACTATCAAATCCCAGAACATTTTATCCCCCTAAACGAAATCCCATACTCGTTAGCAGGCACTCCTCATTCTCCCACTGTCAACCACCAATCGATCTCCTGTCTCTATGGATTTTCTTATTCTGACATTTCAAATAAATGGAATAAAAAACTATGTGATGCTTTGTGTTTTCTTCCATTTAGCACAATGTTTTCATGATTCATGCATGTGTAGAATGTACAACGTGGAATGTTAGATCATTCCATTTTATGGCTAAATAATACACACACACCACACCACATACTGTTTACTTGTTGGATAATGGACTAACCTGATGGATAATTCAGGTTGTGTTCACTTTTTGGTCATCATGAATAGTGCTGCTATGAACGCTTGTGTGCAAGTTTTTGTGTGAACATTTGATTTCATTTCTCTTGAGTATATGCTTAGGAAGAGAATTACTGGGTTGTAGGTTTAACTTTTTGAAAGATTTCCACACTGTTTTCTGCAGTAGCTGTACCATTTTACACTCCTGCTAGCAATGCAGAGGGATGGATGAGTAATGGATGTTTCTCCACACCCCTGCCAACACTTGTCATTGTCCATCTTTTTGATCATAGCCATTCTAGTGGGTATGAAGTGGTATCTCATTGTGGTTTTGATTTCCATTTTCTTTAAAAAAAAATTTTTTTTTTTTACGTTTATTTATTTTTTGGGACAGAGAGACAGAGCATGAACGGGGGAGGGGCAGAGAGAGAGGGAGACACAGAATCAGAAACAGGCTCCAGGCTCTGAGCCATCAGCCCAGAGCCCGACGCGGGGCTCGAACTCACGGACCGCGAGATCGTGACCTGGCTGAAGTCGGACGCTTAACCGACTGCGCCACCCAGGCGCCCCTGATTTCCATTTTCTAATGCGTAATCATATTCAGCATCTTTTCATGTGCTTATTGGCCATCTATTCTATGTATTTTCTCTGGAGAAATGTCTACACAGTTCCTTTGCCCGTTTTCAAATGGGGTCATCTTTTTGTTGCTGTTATTGACTTGTAAGAGCTCCTTTTATATTCTAGATACTAGACCTTTATCAGGTATATGACCCAGAAATATTTTCTCCCATTCTGTAGAAAGGGCTTTAGAAACTATTTTTTTTTTTAACGTTTATTTATTTTTGAGACAGAGAGAGACAGAGCATGAACGGGGGAGGGTCGGAGAGAGAGGGAGACACAGAATTTGAAACAGGCTCCAGGCTCTGAGCGGTCAGCCCAGAGCCCGACGCGGAGCTCGAACTCACGGACCTTGAGATCATGACCTGAGCCGAAGTCGGATGCCTAACCGACTGAGCCACCCAGGCGCCCCTAGAAACTATTGATTCCTTATTATTCCTTAGCCTAAAATCAGATCTACTGAATCACCACCTGTAATTTAAAAGGTAAAGAGCTTTTCAGGTGATTCAGATGACCCAAGAGGCTTGGGAATGAGTAATCCAGACCAGGGCTTCCCAAAATTTAACTGTATACAAAATTTAATGTGCATACAAATCACCTGGAGATCTTAATAAAATTCAGATTTTGGGGCAACCAGAACACCACCATTAGAATACCACAGTAATCACTGTTGCACACATGATGACTGTGAGCATCCATTGGTGAGTGTTAGAATTAGTGGGCGAAAGTTTAAGGAGAAATAGGATAATTGATCATTAAAGTATTTCCTCCAAAATATTTATTAATTGCAAAAGCAAAGACAGTGACTTTACAGTGGAGGAATTTGGCAGATACTACCTTAACCAAGAGATCAAGGTTCACATGACCAGTAGGTAATAAGACATACTGCTACCACGTGCCCTCTGATACAATGTGAGAAAGGCACACCTCTGTGTACTCTCCCCCAAACTGAAAGCCTCCATCTAATCATGAGAAAACATCAGATAAACCCAAACTGAGGGACACTCTACAAAATATCTAACCAATACTTTTTGAAAGGATCAAAGTCAAAAAAAAAAAAAAAAAAAAAGGAAGAAAGAAAAAAAAAGAAAGACTTAGGAACTGTCACAGATTGGAGGAGATATGGAGACATAATCACTAAATCTAATGTGGTATGCCGGGCTGAATCCTGAAGGAATCAAGACAAGGGTGAAAAAGAGGTGAAATCCAAATATACTGTACTTGAAAGGTTTGTACCAATGTTAACTGCCCAGTTTTGATAGCTGTACCGTGGTTGAGTAAGATAGGGAAAGCTGAGGGAAAGGCACATGGGAACTTACTGTACAATTTTTGCAACTCTACTGAAAGTCTAAGATTATTTCAAAATAAGTTTAAAAAATACATATATATTCTGATTCTGCAAATCAGACTTGGAAGTTCCTATGAGAAGCTGATGCTTTGGGTTCCCCAACCCCACTCTAAGTAGCAAGAGTCTAAACTAGCTGTTTTCAGACTTAATCGTGCATCAGAATCACCAGGAGGGTTGTAAAAACACAGATTGCTGGGCCCTACTCCAAGAGTTTCTGATTCAGTAAGTCTGGCTGCGGTGATCCTAAGAATCTGCATTTCTAACAGGTTCTCAGATGATGTTGATGTTGCTGATGAGCTAAGAATTAAGAATGGTTTCTGTGTTTTTTTATTTTTTTTAACTTATTTATTTTGAGAGAGAGTGCGCACACGCGTGCACATGAGTGGGGAAGGGGCAGAGAGAGGAGAGAAAGAATCCCAAGGAGGCTTTACACCGCTGAACCCATGAACTGTGAGATCATGATCCAAGCCAAAATCAAGAGTCAGATGTTTAAAAGACTGAGCCACCCAGGAGCTCCAGTTTGCATGTTTTTAGAGGGTTGCAAAAAAAAAAATTGGCCTTCAAATATTTACAGAAAATGGCTGCTGAGCCTCGGATGCTTGCTACTCAGAATGAAGCTGTGAAGAGACACTTATGCCTAGGTCCCACCCCTGAGATTCCTAGTGAGCTGATCTGGCATGGGTCCTTGGCATCAACATTTTAAAAATACTCCCCTTTAATTCTGTTGTGCAACCAGGTTTAAGAACTATTGATTTAAGCTCTCCGCCTGCCTCAGGAAAAAAAAACCCAAACATAAAAACCTATTTCTCAATCATCCCCAAGTTTGGGGATGAGCCCAAACAACTGTCAAAGGGCATTTCTGCAACTCAAGACTCAGTTACAAAAGTTGGGCTACTATTCTGTGAAAGTCAACAAGACCCAAATATAAACCGGCATTTCCCTCTCTCACCTATCCCCTCCCAAGTGAATATAAAAGAACACTGGATTATATATCAACAGTAATTACCCCAAACCCAAAGGAAAAAAAGTGGCACGTGTAGCTGTGCAGGATGGTCTGAAATAGATGGGCTAGAACACGCAGAGGTGGACCAGAGAAGGAATCAAGGTGAGCACTGCCCTCTGGGATAAGTGGTGGGTAAGAGAGCACAAAGGGCTAGAAAGCTGAGGGAAGGGGAGAAAGGTGCAGGGCTGAGAAATGGAGTGGTGTTGAGGTACCTGAAGAAATACCACAAAGTACCTTTAGCTTCCTCATAACCTCAACATATCTGTTTCCCATTTGAATGTAATTAGGGCCAGGGGTTCCTCTAGTATTTGATCAAAACCTTCACAGTCTTACTCTTTGCCTATTACTCCTCTGCCAAAGACGAACGCTTTTAGCTGCAGTGGGCTGTCCTTGCTCAAGGGATCTGAAGGCCTTCATCTTAGTCCCAACTGCTAAGCCTGCTCCAGGAAGCACCTTGCCACTTGGGAAAAAGGTTCCTGTTTGCTCTCCTACCTGTGCTCTCCTCAGCCTGATTGAAGCCACAGATCTGGCAGATGCTCTGGACCCACTTATTCATGTCCTCCTCCGTCTCGGCCACCAGATAAAAGGTGCGCTCACTGGTCTTGATGTCAAACACAAAACTATCCTGCAGCTCCTTCTTGTTGAAGGTCAGGCCTGCATCCACCTGCTCACAGAAGTTCAGGTTGATGATCCTCAAGGGCTTCTTAGAGTGATCATTCTTGTAGTATTCCAGAACATCTGGGTCACCACTCATCCGGCCACTCCGCAGGATAAACCATCGCTTCTTCCAGGCCTGAGGAGGAAGAAGGAAAAAGAGGGGAAAAAGGTCATTAGTTAGTTCAAAGCTTCTCACAGGTGCTCAGAAATCACTAGGTTAAGGATGGGGACTGTTGCACCTGCAGGCTGAACATGGCCCTTATTTCTCTTTCATTCTTCACCACAGTTTAAAAAATGGAGGATGATCTTAGAATGTGTGTTAGCGCAACACTTCACTATGGAACAGGGTCTTATCATTCTGAAATGAGATGTGGCATTCCAATTTTTTAGATTAAGAAATTAGATGGAGACTAAGACATTTTCGTGCAATTATTCCCTATGCTGGAATACAGATTCAAACTCATAGTACTGTTAGTCAGGGTGGAACGTGCAAAACCACAGCATCTCAGTATATGGATAGGGACCCCAACAAGTCATGGTGAGTGGAAGCAAAGAAGCAGTATCACACACAGCCAGCAGCAGAAAAACAATTCCCTATTTTGTGTGTAGTATATTGTGCTTTTTAAGCAAATGATGGTGCCTTGGAAGAATCACCTAGAAAGCCTTCTAAAACTTCTCTGAAGTGGGGGGTGCCTGGGTGGCTCAGTTAAGTGTCCAACTCTTGGTTTGGGCTCAGGTCATGATCTCACAGCTCGTGAGACAGAGCCCGGCATTGGGCTCTGTGCTGACAGCACGGAGCCTACTTGGGATTCTCTCATCCTCTCTCTCTGTCCCTCCCCTACTCATGCTCTTGCTTTCTGAAAATAAATAAAAAATTTAAAAAATAACTTAAAACTTCTCTGAAGCACATAACTCTAAGATTTTTTTCATTGTCTTGCTCCTTGCAATAGCCCAAGTACTTGTAATAGGGCCTTGCACATATTAAATACTCTATATGTATCACTGAATGAATAAACTCCTTGTATCATTTCATACTATAGAATTTAATACTTGATCACATATTCTCTTATCCTGTCTTGTATATTCCATTTTTTCAATAAGACTGAGTAATCTGTGAGCAGACACCACACAAAGTGGTAAAAAGATGCTGCATGTAATAGCCTTGGGTTGAGGCTATGCTTAACTACTGATTTGCTATAGTTAAGTCATTTGTAGATGTGGGCTCCCAGGCTGCCCCAAGATCCTATCTCAGTTACCTTGTCTAAGATTTTCTCTTGCTCTTTGGCTACTGTCTCTGAGCTTCTCTCTCTCTAAACGTCCAACATGGCCACTTTTTGGTTTCATGAGAAAATATAAGCAATCAAGAGAATTTACATATGCTCCATCACCAAATTTACTGATCTGCCCGCATCTGAAGCAAAGTAGCCTGTTATTAGGGAGCATTCACAGTTCGTCCGATCTAAAGCCAACATCCTTCCATTTGTGTGCCCCCTTTCACCTACAAGGGGACCAACACCACTGTATGATTCTCCCATTCTCTGGAAGCACTGCATTTTCCCTCCCTACTAGGATCATTCCCATAAGGACACTAACATCCGCCATCATGGGGAAAAAATATAAAGCTTGACTTAATCCCATGTTCCCCTCTAGTGATGGCCCAGTTTTCTTTAGAGTAAAACCTCAAAGAGTTTTCTATATTACTGGACATTTGTCTCCTCTCTTGCCATTCTTTGGTGGAAAGCAATCTAATCAGGCTGCCCCACCACTGCATAACAAAGTTCCCAAAGACTTCAAGGCTGCTAAAGCAACTTTTGGGTTTTATTTGCTCTCTCAACACCACCTGATAATGGCTTATTCTGTCCTCTTTGAAGCACCTTCTTCCCTTGGCTCACCCTCAACTTCCCTCCTCCCCAGCCTCTTTTTCAGACTCCAGGGCTGGTTCTTTCTCATCTCCCTGACCTCTAAATATTGGAATGCTTCCATGCTCAGTTCTCAGTCTCTGTCTCTCCTCTCTCTACACCCACACCCTAGGTTATTTTATTCAGTTTCACAGCTTTAAAGACCATCTAATTGCTGTACTTCCCAAATGTATTTCTCCATCCCAGGTCCATCCACTGAACTCCAGAGTCTTATACCCAACTCTTCACTAATAAGCATCTTAAACCCTTGGAGGATCTTTACATCCTCCAAGCCTGTTCTTCCTGCAATCTTTCCCGTCTCAGTTAATAGCAGCTCCAGCCTTCCAGGTGCTCAGACCACATATAGTGAGAGGTCATCATGGACTCCCTTCTTTCACATTCCACATCTACAACAAATCCTGTTGGTTCAAACAGTTCACTCGGTCTAGCCGACCATTCTGTAGTCCTCCTGCTTCTACCCTTTCATCCTGCAACTGATGCTCAACATGGAAGCTGATGTAAATCAGACTGTGTCACTTCTCTGCACAAAATCCCCAAAGGCTTCTCATCTCTGAGTAAAAACCAAAGTCTGCACAATGGCCAGTGGGTCTGATGTGACGGTCAACTCTCACCTATCCAACACCTCTTACCTCATCTCCAGCCATGCTCTGCCTTGGCCATTCTGCTCTCACCACACTGGCCACATACTTCTGCCTCAGCGTCTTTGCTCTGGGTGTTCCCTCTGCCTGGAATACTCTTCCCCCAGACGTCTTTCCTTCAAGTCTCTACTCAAATATCCCATTATGGGGGCAGCCATTCTTAACCACCCAACCCTCACACTCTCTTTCCCCCTTACTCTGCAACACCGCTCTTACTAGTACTTACACCATCTAAAATGCCACATTTTTGTTGAATGTCTGTATCTACCTCTCAAAATGTAAACACAAGGAATGATTTTTTAAAATCCCATGCTGCATCTTCAGTGTTTCAAATAGTGCCCGACACACAACTGGTTATCAATAACTATGTATTGGATTAATGAGTAATTATTTTATTACATGAACTCCTTACAGCATCCAGTAGGTTACAGGGATATAACTGATGCTTAATAAGTCTTACCTCAAAATGAATATAAGGTATGGCCAGATAGAATCGAGCTGAGGAAAACAAAAAATAAGAACTATATATTTACAGTCACCTAAAATCTTTCCCAGGTCATTGGCTTATAGAACTCTGGGTGTGCTTGTGGTCCATGTAGCAGGTGCATGCATATACATGGAAGTGTGTGAGTAGCAAGGTGCATTTTTAAAAGGTATTGTTAATAGTTTAGCTTGTGTTTCAGTTGATGTGTCCCCTTCAGTGATGGTCTCTGCAGAAAGACCTGTCTCCAAATCACTGGTGTGCAGGTACAAGCATAAACAAACACAGAGACACCCACATAAACAAGAGAAAGGTGTTTACTACAGATAACATCAGAGCCTGTCAGGTTCTGCTTTCAAGGAAGTGGTGTAGGCTGATAAATGACTGCTTATAAAATGCTGGTAAATTTATGACCAAGCAGGCAAGGCTGTCTAGTGTAGTCCCAAATTCCCATCCCTCTTCTGCCACACCATTTCTCTCCAAGTCTATGCACATTTCTTTTTTAAATCAAACAACTGAGAACACAAGTATAACCAACTTCAAAGAGTCTAGCTCCAATGACAACTTCTCTGATCTTCTCAGCTGAAATGGACCTCTACTTCTTCTGAACCTTTGTAACACTTTTTATGTAGTTTTTATGGCCTGTCATTTTTTACAACATATTACAGATATTTTGGAATTTATTGTTTCTTCCCAAGTATATTATGAACAACATCTGTATCCTTCTATGAATCTTGATGGTAGGCATTTTGCTAAATGTTACTAAACAAGGCTCCTTATCGCTGAAATTTTCTTATCTCTCTGGCCTCATTTATACCTCCTTGCTTTCTTCTTTCCATCCATCCATCCATCCATCCATCCATCCACCCACCCACCCACCCATCCATCCAACAAGTATTTGTTTAGTGTTTACTATGCTACAGGCAGTATTCTAGATGTTGAGCGTACAGCATGAATTCCTGGTCTTACAGAACTTACTACAGTGCATAACAAATTACATATTATTCTCCAAATATACCAGATAATTGCATGCCTTCCTGTCTTTGCACAACCTACTGCATCTTCCTAGAATGACTTTACCCTCACCTTGTCTATCTAGAAAATTCCTATGTCCCTTCAGTGCCAGCTTGAAGTATCACTTTCCCTGGAAGGGCTTTACTAACTTCCTTGGGTAGAGCTGGTGCTTCTGTCTTATACTCTCTTAATAATTTGTGCTTTCTTTGGCATTTCAGTTATTTATATATCTTCCTCCCCTTTAAGCTCTGAACATCTTGAGGTTAGGCTCCTTTCTGGCCAAAAGTTACTTGGAAAAGTGTTTGGTCTATATGAGAGCTCAATAAAGATCTATTGACTTTCTTCATTCTATCAATATATTAATTTACTCAAACTGATAAATGCAACTTAAATATATATATATATTTTCACAGAAGCAGGAAAGGAGGACAGCAAGAGAAGTACAGCAAAGATATTAAGAAAGATAAAGGTATAGTGTGGGTTCTATATGATGTGAGTTCTTTACTCTCTTGTTCTCTTCATTCTGATATGAACATTGACCATGTAATAAATATTTATTTATTTTTATTTTTTTCAGTTTATTTATTAATTTTTACACCCAATGTGGGACTCAAACTCACAACCCCGAGATCAAGAGTCGATGCTCTTCCAACTGAGCCAGCCAGGCGCCCCTGACCACGTACTAAATATTTATAAGGAAATCTGGGGCCTTCAGCTTGAAAGTGTCTCATGATACAGGAATGAAAAATTACTGTTGGATTACTGACACATAATGCAAGGATAACATGGGACCTGGATATGTTACAAGAAGAAAGCTTTTTCAAGACTGTTCTTATATCTATACAAAATTTCTTAACAAAAATTAAGTCAAAATCGATCATGGACTTAAACATAAAATACAAAGAGAAATCAGCAAGATATATAAAGAATTATATAAGGTAACCAAGTGAGGGTTATCTCAAGGATGTAAAACTAATTCAATATTCAAAAATCAATCAGTGTAATCCACCATAGTAATAGACTAAAGAAAAACCACATGGTCATTTCAATGAATACAGAAAAAAAAATTGACAAAATTTGATCC